TTTTAAGAACTAATTTATTAACAATAAATAAAATAAAATAAATAAAATCAAAATTTTATACATTATTATGTAGAATTTGTGAAAAAATTAATTCAACGGTATTTTTTTATGTGATAATATTGGACAAGTGATCGGCAAAATGATCGGCAATATCGTGATAATATGGGGATGTCTGCCCTGTTCTGCTACTATGAGTGTATTCTGTCTAATAGAAACCAAGTTTAATGATTCAAAATCTGGAGTAGAGTTTGGGGATGTAGTTTTCAAAATAGGACTACAGTATTATGAAAAATTCAAATGGAAAGTTTTCAATGGCGTCTAAATTAATCTAACTAAATTTAGATATATTGCTGTATATTGTTGATCATTTGTAATTAAACTAATATTTTGACCAAAGGTCTCATTCAAAAATGACATTTGGAAAATTTACATTCATCAAAGTAGATGGTATCGAAACAATTGCAGTTAGTTATCTACTTTATTTTGATATGTATTTTATCACCTTTTTTAAAACATAAAATATTTTATTCTTTCTTTTTATTTTGTTTAACATATATTAATTATTAAATTATATTTTTTTTTGTTATTAAAAATTTTAAACATTAGACAAAAAAAATCAATATTGTAATATATTAATTATTAACTAAAAATGGAAAACAATATGCAGATCATTTCTGAGATCTTTTTAGATTTATATAAAACGTATTCTGAAATCATTTTGCTATAAAAAAATCTGTTTATAATATTATTTTACAAGGTCTATTATAATAAATTATAATAATTAACAAACAAATGAACTTCTTTTTCCAAATTTGAATAAACAAGATATTAATCTTATACCTATAATTTTGAATTTTATTAATTAAATTGCGTTGTGTATTATTTATCAAGTAAAATAATATAAATAATTTGATTTATTGTTTATTATATTTAATAATCTCTTTATATTTCACTAACCTTAACCATTAATAGAATTTTCAAATAAAAATATTGATTAGTAATATTGTACTATATAAATTAACAGGAGAAGTATTTATATTGCAACAATATTAGATTTTTACTTCAAATGATCATCACCGTTGGCCAGAATTATCAATTTTTACCGGCACTATTTTTTTAATGCTGGTCGATCGTTATAATTTTAGTCACTGGTGATCATCACCCCCGGTGATAGTTAAAAAATTCATACGTATTATACCATTTAAAAATACACTTTCTTTACCATTTATTTATTTTGTGCAATTAATAAAGAAACGTGAAAATTACGTGAATTATTAGTATATATAATTAATAATTTTTAATATAAATTAATTTTGAATTGCATTTTTTATAGTTATTAAGACCCACTTGATTGGCAAGTCATGTTGTACACCTAATTAATCAAGAATTTTTTTTTAAAAAAATATTTTTTTCCAAACCAATCTAAATTTTTTAGTTCCTTTTTTTAATTTTAATTTTTTTTTTTTGAACCAATCTTTTACTCTGGTTTTTTCTTTTTTTTCAAATTTCATCATTTATCTTCCGAAAGACCTTTTTCTTTTCCTTTTTTTCTTTTTTTAAAAATTTTTCATTTTTCCTCATTTTTTTTTATTTTTTTTATTTTCAGTTTTTTTTCCAAAACTGAAAAATTATTATTTTTTTTTTTATTAAATAACTTATATTATTTGAAAATTTTAATACTAGTACTGAACCAATTACATTGTAATCAAATCCATATTCACCATATATACAGTATATCAACAAAGTATCTATTTTCTATTAAATTTATATTGAAACCTACACTAAATAAGACCTAACTAATTTGAAACTTGTAATTACTAAAATTATTTCATATAAATTTCATTTTTGGTCCTATTTCGATTTATTTGTTTTTTTTTCAATCCATTTTTTTATTTTTTTTTTT